GACGCCAGTGTCCATAGGAAAGCATTGTGAATGATTTCCTATGGACTGGCTGAATGCGTGAGCCATTGTACACCAGCTGTGGTGGTTATAGTGCCTAGACTGGCCTTTTATTTTGAAACTACACCGGAAAGTTTGTTAAACTATGAATTGTAGAGTATGAACAAGATCTAAATTTTCGAGCTAGAAAAACATGGACATTTGTTCTAGATTAGATATATAATTTGGTATTTAACCCTTTTGGATATTGTTCCATTTTTGTTAAAATATGCACATACTTTAATAATGCGTGAGTATGATGTACTTACATTGATCGCCCAGACCACCTATCAAGTTTCATTTACCAGTTATTCCAACATCTCCTGGCCTCCGTAATCTTGGTGTACGGTTTGCTATTCTTTGACCAATTCTCTACTGTACCCTGACTGTCTATTAAAGTGCAATATGTAAGCTAGTGAACTGACCAATGAACGAATCGATAAATTGTTAATTTCAAGCCAAATAATTAGATGGAAAAGCAGCCAAGTAGGAGAATTGCTTAAAATTTCTTGAATTAGTTGATAACCCTGTTTGGGACTTTCAACCATATGTAATGAGGCTGCTTAGTGAGGAAGACCCATAGAGTAATAATTACTACAAAATGCAAAAAGTGCTACCAAGACGATTAACCAGTTTCCTTTCTTTATATAAATTAATACTCGGGAGGCATGACAGAAACTAGCTAACACAGGGGTATTGTTCTATAGTGACAGAGCCGTCCCAACGGTTGGCTGACAAATACCATTACGCATCTATACACCGACATGTAACCGCCACTGCTACTGCTATGAGAATTCCTGGGGTGGTCTCAGCCGTAGACTTCCTCTCTGCTCCCCGGGCAGACTAACATCAGCAGATGACATACCTTCTTTTTATCTTTTATTTTTGGCTCCCTAACATCCAACAGGTAGTCGATGGCAGCGAAAGTAACCTATGCACACCTCCAAATGGCTCTATAATATCCGTTGTCTTTTATATTTGAATCTGGCATCTCATACATCATTGATCCTCGACTGTAATCATTTCGGGACCTGCATGTCCCATTCTGTTACCTGTACCTTATTTGTCACAAACTTATGGTTTACAAAAAAAAAGTTAATGAATTAATACTGAATTGCCTGTGTGTTTTATAATGTGAATGCTGTGTTTATGTGTTGAGTCTCTTTTTCAATTGATCAGTGTTATATATAACAGACTCACCTATTATACGTAGAGGAGAGGTGTTTCTCTCTACTGGCTCATTCAGGCTTGGGTGTTGCACTCTGCATTTAAATCTCACCCCTTGGTGTATCTCCGGCAAAGGTACAAATCACAGACGGGCTGTACTAGTGTATGAAAGCTGATCCCATTTGATGTCTGTTTTGTACATATTGTTGTCACCCAAAGGAACATACGTTATATGTTCTTTCTGTTTTTAGAACCAGGTGACAGACAGATCAGAGGGGGGATATTTGATGTCACAATGGAACGTGAATTCTTTATCCAATGTAATCACAGGAATAGATATTTCTGTAACCTCAGGACACCATGGGAAATCTATTAATAAAAAGTGAAAGCCATTAGAAAAGAAGATTTAATACACGTACATACTTTAAAGCATATTTATTTTTATTAGAAGCTAATCGACTTATGCACTGTGAAAAAAATTTGTTTGGCTCGATTGATTCATCCAAATAAAAACATTTGTGTTGGTCATTTGGGATTGCCGTTCAGACAAATTTCAGCCATGCAATTATTTCAGGTAAAATGATCCAGACTAACAAAATTGGGATAAAACTGTGTGTACTGCAGAATATACACATAAAATAAATACTGTAAATGGAAATATTTTTCAGTACACGGAGGGATGCATTTCATTTCATTTGGTTCACAGATCAAGTTAGAGGAAATAACTAATGAGAAGCAGAAAAAAAAAATAATCTATTTTTATATATTTTATAGGTTTATTCAATATATCATATATAAATGCTTATACATAAATTTAGTTTTACTGCTCCTCAGTTTTTTTATCTGTAGAATATCCTATTTTTTAAAATATTTTCTTACATGCATTCCTCACTGAGGCATAGTTGGATTTAAGTGACATGAACAGATGATATGTGTTGTAAGAGATTTTCTATTTCTGTCCATGGTACATGGGGATGACCTAATAAGGATATTAGAACTGCTAACAAGAATATTTTATTAACGGCATTGACACTAATAATAATAATAATCAGGCAAGGGATGGCCATTGGGCAAACCAGGCAAATGCTGATTACAGCACCTATCTACCTTATCACAGCCCCTTTCCCACCATCACAACACCTATCCACTTTATCACAGCCCCTATCACAGCACCTATCCCCCATCACAGCCCCTATCCCACCATCACAGCACCTATCCCACCATCACAGCACCTATCCCACCATCACAGCACCTATCCCACCATCACAGCACCTATCCCACCATCACAGCACCTATCCCCCTTATCACAGCCCCTATCACAGCACCTATCCCACTTATCACAGCCCCAATCTCCCTTATCACAGCCCCTATCTCACCATCACAGCCCCTATCTCACCATCACAGCACCTATACCACCATCACAGCACCTATACCACCATCACAGCCCCTATGCCACCATCACAGCCCCTATGCCACCATCACAGCCCCTGTCTCCCTTATCATGTCCCCTACCCCACCATCATAGCCCCTGTCTCCCTTATCACAGCCCCATCATAGCCCCTGTCTCCCTTATCACAGCCCCTATCCCACCATCACAGCACCTGTCTCCCTTATCATGGTGCCTACACCACCATCACAGCACCTATTCCCCTTATCACAGCCCCTATCCCACCATCACAGTACCTGTCTCCCTTATCACGGACCCTACCCCACCATCACAGTACCTATCTCCCTTATCACAGCCCCTATCCCACCATCACAGCACCTGTCTCCCTTATCACAGCCCCTACCCCACCATCACAGCACCTATCCCCCTTATCACAGCCCCTATCCCACCATCACAGCACCTATCCACTTTATCACAGCCCCTATCCCACCATCACAGTACCTGTCTCCCTTATCACGGACCCTACCCCACCATCACAGTACCTATCTCCCTTATCACAGCCCCTATCCCACCATCACCGCACCTGTCCCCCTTATCACAGCCCCTATCCCCCATATTACAGTCATAACCCCCACAAAATACAACCAATTTGCCCTGCATATACTGCAACCCATATGACCCCAAAACACTACAGTCCCTATCCCCCATCACAGTCCTTATTCCCTCACCACATACTCTATCCCCCCACAAACCACAGCCTCCATCCTGACAGACACAACAGCCCAAATTTCCCCCATACGCTACAGCCCATACGCTTTCAAACACTTCAGCCTCTATCCCCCCATATAGTACAGGCTCTATTGTCCTCATATACTACAGCCTCTACCCCCCATTCAGGTACTACAGTCATAATCCCCACCACACGCACTATAGCAATTAACCCCACACAAAGAAACAAGCAGCATCTCCCGACATTCAAACCCAGATACACAGCTCCACAGGCATAATCCCCACACGCAGCTACATCTCTACACACACATCAACAGGCATGCACAGCACAGCCAGTCTAATCTCCCAAACATGTAACCTCACAAGCAGCCTGCAAACAGGGCCGGCCTTAGATCTTTAGGCACCCTGTGCACACAATCTTAACAGCACCCCTCCCTGGTCCCACCCGCTCATCCATGTATAGTGTGTGTGTAAAGAGATGTAGTATCTGTACAGGGATTTTAATTAATAATTATTATTTTAAAAAAAATACTATTTATTCCCCCTTCCCTGTTGTTACCTTGCTGGGGGGTATGTTGATTTCGGATGATCCAGTGTACTGTGAACCTGGTCTGCCCTCCATGTGTGCTATTTCTTATAGGTGTATTGACTGTGTATGATATTTGTGATGGGTATTTAATTCAGATTTTAAAAAAATGTATGTAGACTAGGCCATTGTAAGTATGCAGGTATGTATTTTTGCAGTGTCACATGCATACAGTCTCACAGTCAGACCCACAATCAGATGCACACAGTTACACACATATACTGCCAAATACAGCCACATGCACACAGTCCCAGACATATAGTCACTCGCACAGAGTCACACACCCAGTTACAAGCAGCCAGTCACACACAGTCACAGAGTCAAAGAGTCACACATGGACACACAACAAGTTACAGTCAGACAGTTACACACAGTTACAGGCAGTCAGTAGTGATGTCGCGAACCCGAAATTTTCGGTTCGCGAACGGCGAACGCGAACTTCCGCAAATGTTCGCGAACCGGCGAACCGCCCGAAACGCCATTGACTTCAATGGGGAGGCGAATTTTAAAACACACAGGGACTCTTCTGGCCACAATAGGGATGGAAAAGTTGTTTCAAGGGGACTAACACCTGGACTGTGGCATGCCGGAAGGGGATCCATGGCAAAACTCCCATGGAAAATTACACAGTTGATACAGAGTCTGGTTTTAATCCATAAAGGGCAGAAATCACCTAACATTCTTAAATCACAATCAATATGGATTGACACCTGACATATGACATATTGACACCTTGACATATGGATTGACACCTGTCCTCAGAGCCCCTGATGCACACGGACACAGAGCAGAATAGAGACTGGTCCCCCTACATAGGGTCACTTGGCAGATATGATTGACACCTGTCCTAAGGATCCCTGATACACACTGACACAGAGCAGAATAGGGACTGTTCCCCCTACATCGGGTCACTTGGCAGATATGGATTGACACCT